GTGTAAAAAAAAAAAAAAAAAAAAAAAAAAAATATATATATATATATATATATATATATATATATATATATATATATATATATATATATATATATATATATATATATATATATATATATATATCAACAAACCAAGAATGGTACAGTGCTGAAATGTAAATACATGGAATACATCAACTTGGGAGAACTACAACTGAGGCTAATTTTCTGGCACCTCTACCTCTAGTGACTTATATGTTTCTAATTATACTGGAATAAATTTATTTAAAAATAATACTTTTAAATAAATAATCACTGACCTTGACATTCACCATTCTTTTCCTTAGTCCCTGGACAACATATCATCTTAGTTTGGTAAGCAGTTTGATATGTAGTATAAGTTTCAGTGCTATATTCAATTCTAAAAGAGAAAAAAAGATATTTGTATTACCTTGATACATTTATTCTCAAATGATTTTGTATTAAATATATATTTATTATACATAAATTTAGATATTAATTGTTTACAAAGAAGTTTATACCAGTTACTTTAATTTATAAAATATTGGGCCAGTTTCACAAAGGAGCATAAATCCAGAATTAGTAATTAATTAATTAATGACTTAAATTGTGGTCTAGTTCAGGATAAATCTTTAAAATAAAGTAAATACAGGGCTAAAAAAAGTCATTTCTTTCTTTTCATAAAACAGGCACAAAATTTCATTCATGAACTGGCTGACCTAGGGTAAAAAAAATGTAGAGTCTATATATTAGTTAAAACTAACTTTCTTAAGGAGATAACAGGTGCTCATTTTGGCCAAAAAATTGGTTAAATATAATTTATTATATTTCTGTTAGTTGTTAACAATGTATTTATTGTGAAATATGAATCTCATACTTGTTATGCACTTAAGTTCCTTAAGTTATTTTGAGAAACTGTCCCTGTGGTACTCTCATACTTGTAATTTAAAACTTAAATGAATTTTCAATTTTCCTTTACTTTTGTTGGAATGACAACTTCAAAACTGATCAATTCTGATTTATGTTCTCTTATGTGTCTTGAATGTAATTTATTATAGCTGCATTGGTCAAATGTGTCCAGGATGTGTACTTATATATGATCAGTTTAGAGGTCAAGTTAAGGATGTCAATTTTGTACAGTCACACGGGGTTACACAAGAAGCCATATCTTTGACTGAGAAGTACATCCGTCTCGAATGCATGTAGCCCCCTTAAACCATATCATTCACCTTCTTCAATCAGTTCAAGTTTTCAATCGGTGTCTAGAAGCCATTTAGTGCTCTGCATGGAAGTCTTCTCTTTTATAAGACTTAAAGTATAATTGAATTTAAGTGACCACTCTGGTAACCAAACTGACTAGGAAGCCAATACTATGTAATTATATGTGTGAAGATATACCAGGGTATAAAGATGTAAATAAATGCGGGGGTCAGTAATTAGTAGTTAGAGAGGATACTATATGCTGATCTCTAGAAAGCAAAACATGATGTGATATCAGTATACTCATGAGGCCTCACCTGTATTTTGTGCTACACCTGCTAGGAAACCATAACCTTGTCCAACCAGAGCAAGAGGGCTTGTAGTTGATGACTTTTGCAGTCATTTTTGTCAACAACTTGCTTTCCATTACACTATAAAATAATGTCAAATGTCCATGTTTTGACCATGTGGTTTACAGAGATATACCATTTCATCTCATACAACAGCAACATTAAATAAAAAGAGGCATACACAAAGAATTAAAGAGTCACAAATGGACTATAATGCCTGGTGTTTATTTTTCACAGTTTATCCTCATCTTGATATATCACTTGAAATTTTGCTTTTATTATTATCATCAATATTGTTTATATCCATATGTATAATGTTGTTCAAAGTGTCCATTGGTCATGACCGTCACACTGTCACACATTATTTTTGTCACATATGTTTTCAATTAAAAAATTAAGAAATGACCTATACGTACTCAGTAGTGAACAGAGAACAGATTTCTGTTGAACCTACCTTACTGTTTGTGTACATTGCTTAGGTACAGCTTTATTGTGATGCACCATGTCCATAAGAAATATAACAAGGAATACACTGATGTAGCTCTTCATCTCACAGGAAAAAGGAAATCCTGATAGTAATAATAAAAAGCTCCAACTTAAATTTGTTTTTCAAAATTATCCAATTTACAATCACCAAACACAAAAATTCTTAAAAGTATTGCCTTGTATATGAATTCACTCATATCATTTCAAGGTTAACTTTTCATAAAATCGTGAATGATTGTTGTATGCCTTATTTGTTACTTTATCAGAATTCAACAGAGTTACACCTTATTGGCAGTCATCAATTTCCAGGAAGGGTCATTTCAGTACAAGTTAAAACTGCCCCTTGTACTTACTGTATGTTAATCAGTTCTAGTAGGGAAAATCTACTTTCTTTTACATTTAAAAAAAAATTAATTTAGGGTTTATAAGGTATAGATAAGTACGTTTCTGTCAACAAAATGTGTGCGCACGAAACCAGTGGCAGTGAATCACTCACAGATACGCTCCAATTAAGTCAACACAAACTTTTTATAGTTCCTTCACTTTCACCAACATATCTTACCTTGCGCGCTACGAAGGTGTTTCTGGACCCGAATAAAATAATCAACAAGTTACGATCGCTGGATGGCTTAATATTAATACATCCTGGTAATGAAAGGGTGCAAAAGGGGGCTACATGCCCACACCTCCATATTTAAAAACCTTATGGCCTACTTGTTGCCACTTTAATTGCCTATGACCTATTTAAATTGACCTAAATAAAGTGACCAATCATTTGTTGCGTTTCGAATTCCACTGACGAATCAAGTCCATGTTTTGAATTAGAAGCGACCATTTTAAACGAGGCCAAAACACAAGCCGTGATAGTCCACAGTATCTACAAATAAGCATTGAAAAAGCTCGGATTCCTTCGAAAAGGGATATCTGATAAGGTGAGAAATCTATTTAGATAAATCTGTTAGAATTAAGAGAATGAAATACTGTCCATACCTCTCCATTTAGACAGGTGCAAAACTTTTATGCAGCTGTTAAAATACTGAAGTTAAACCTCAGACATTTGACGTTCCTTCATCATCATGTGCATTAAAAAGTGTCATGTTAAAATAAATGCAAGTTTAAGTGAATGGTGTTATTGCCATCACTACGGCTCGTACGAGCCTCATGCACCATGCTAAAGATTTCAAGAAGTATTAAGAATGGGATTTTTTTTTTTTTTTTTGCAAACACTCATCAAGTATATTTTCAAAATATTATTGTGCCCTGATCAATCAGTATGCCCTTAAATGCTTAGAAACATTGCACTGAACCCATTTGTATTTTATTAGATGTCTTCTACATCAGATGATAGTTCAACCCCAATGCTGCCTGAAGATTCTCCAGGAAGTTCTATCTCTAGCAGGCTACAGGTTAGTAAAAGTCATTCTCTGCTGGTAGTGGCACTTTTATTTGTAAACATGTCCTTTCTAGTGCTAGAATATGAAAGATATATGTGTAGTTGGGTTGTATATGGGTGTTAAGTGTGTAATAGTATTACAATGTTTATAAATGAAGTTCATAAATTTAGTTTATGATTTTCAGTTGTTTTGAAATATTTTTTTTTTATATTCAGGATGAATATGATGAACTTTTAAAATATGCTGTAGTGGTTCCCAAATTTGACCCCAGCACTCTTCCACAAACACTTGCAGACATCAGAGAATCATTTCCCCAGAGAAGGGAAATGCCTACTATCCCAGAAAGACATGTTACTATTTCTGCAGGTTTGTTTCCTGTTGACTGAAAATCATCTTTTTGCTATGTAATCTTTCAAAGTCTTAGGTATCAGTTATGCATACAAGACAATTTTGTAATTGACTTAGTTTCAGACTGATGGGATTTTGGAAAGCTACAAGTACAATCTTACTTGATTTTCAGAGGTGGTGTTGGTCAGCTTCTTTATTTTCATATATGCCAACTTTTACTTTGAGAGTGAATAATGTTTTCATTTAGTCTCTAAGTCAGTGACTAATGTGGATAAATGCATTTTATAATAACAGATACTTTGACATTTTTTTTTGTTGAAATTATTATTATTATTATTGTGTAATATTTATATTTTATTATTTGTTTATTTAAAGAGGAGAGTTCACCAGGTGAATCAGTTGAAGAGGAAGAGAGAATCGAGGATAGGAATAGCTCCTCTCCAACAGGCAGAGTGCAGCAGCCATATGTTGACCCCAGTCAGCAAGGTCAAAGGGCACCATCTAGGTCACATGTGTCAGGTACAGGTTTCTTCACTTGGGTCTGTATCATAAGATGATAAAAATTCAGATTCACTTGTATAAGGTTGTAAAGAATCCAGCTACGCAAGTTGTACATTTTAGCTGTAATTATTGTGGATCATTCAGCACTACACAGTCAGGGGCAGATATTACAAAGTCTTGGATTTTAGCTGTTGAAAATGAACCCCTTGAAAAATGGTTTTTTTTTTTTTTTTTTTTTTTTTTTTTTTTGATGCAAGCTTCAGGTGGACATTAGCACGTACTTGTACAGGTCTTGTATTTATAGGAAAAAAAAGCATGGATTTCAGAATGCCACAACTTTTTAAGCATTTTGTGGTCAAAAAATAAGGTTGCTAGAGCTTTGAAGATAAGTGTGAATAATTATATCCTTACAGCACAGCTGCAAACCCCCAGTAAAATGGCTGGACTCGGTGGACAGGCCCCGCTGACCCCAGAGAGTGAGTCTTCCACCCTGAGTGCCAGTCCAGGGGAGAGTTCACCTGAAAGTCAGCCTGCTTACTCCCCCACTGTGGACCCAGATGTTGGCAGGATGGAGCAGTACCTTGATGTGTGGTGTGGGGACTTGAAAAGAAATGTCTTGGTGAGTGCCATGTGCCAGGAAATATATCCATATGAGTTGACCAAACTAGAAAAATATAAATTAATAAAAATTGAGTAAATGGCATAAAAGCACTTGGCTTTTTACTGTTACTTGGTGCTTAGTAGTAATTATTATTTAAAGCAAAAAAAAACAACAAACAAACAATTAATGTATAAGTAAAAGAGAGAAATGAGTTGGAAAATTCATATGAATGCAGTAACATGAACAAATGAATAAGATAATTAAGTTGTCATTGGTAGCCAAGAACTAGACCATGTCCAAAAGCTTGAGTAAACCTGTGGATAATGAGTCAATTTGAGTGCAGGCATAATAATAATGTGAAAAATACAGTGGTTTTATTGTTTCTTTCTCTGTCTTAAGAAAAGATTATATAATTGAGCATTAATTTTTTTTTTTTTTTTTTTTTTTTGAAAAATGACACCTTAGTAGATGCAGTTTGTTGTCTAAATGTATATTTTTGCTCATTTCAGAATGAACTAAGTAGAATGAAGATCAAAACCATTGAACATGGACGCCAGCAACTGCAGAGAGAAAAAGAAAAGTATAATTCATGTCTCGATATTCCTTTTAAGATATGAGAACAAGTAGAGAACATTGTTTTCATTTCAAATTTCAGTAATGAAAAATCTATTTTGAATTTGTTGGCATTTTTGTGTGTTAATTTCTAATACCTGTTGATTTAATAGTCAGATCTAAAAGACTGTTTCTGTTTTAGGGTAGAACCAGACATTATCCACACTCTGCATCTGTATGTAGACTAATAACACTGTGTCCAATAAACAATTTTTACAAGGGTTAATGAGTACTCAGTTATGGTGATATGATAATTTGGACCAATAAATCTAGACAGTATATACATCTTATAAAACTAATTTTAGGCATGCATTGGAGGTGAACCAGCTCCAGAATGAAATGGAGGGACTGAAAGAACTTCTTAATACATATGAACAGTCAATACAGAGGAAGGATGAAGTGATCTCAAACCTCACCAGAGGGCTTCAGAAACAGAAGGAAAAGTTTGAAATGCTAAAGACATTTTGTGACTGGAAAATCCGACATAGTGAGCAGATGAGAGAGGTAACAATGTTGAAACCTTTTTTTTTTTTTTTTTTTTTTTGCTGTAAATAATTTATTATATTTTAATTTAAAATACCACCTTAAAATCAAACTTGTTAATGTGAGTGGTTATTTTAAGAGCACTTCGAAGGGTAAATCTAAATTCCTAATATAAAAGATGTGTGTATATATCATAAAAGTAATTGAAAAGTGTTCAGTCTGAATTAACATCCCTTTAGGGGATACTTGTATTCTAAATGACAAGATTGCATCACATACCCATTGGTACCTCAAAGTATCACAGAAGCCCTTTTTAGGTCAAAGAATTTTTGAAATGTAGAATATTCAGAACAGCAATTATTTTGAAAAAAAAAAATGCATGTTAGAATGTTTGCATTATTGTTGTAACACTGTGATAACAACAGCAACTTGTTTGATATATCTCCTGTAGAAATTTGCTACCAACCTGGCCAGGAAGCACTACCACAGGACCCTGTCACAGAAAGTGTGGGCTTCCTGGCACGCCATCATAGAAGCCAAGTGGAGACAAAGAGTAGAGAAAGCCTGTCAGGCTAAAGCACAGGAAGTCTGTATAGCTCTAACCAATGACTACGAGACAAAGTTAGCCTCGGTGAGTTGTGCTGAAGTTACAGCTTGTCTCCTTATAGTTTATTAAATAGTTTGGCAACCTGTTAATAGTTGGATAAATACAATGGCACTATCAAGTAAAATTACTAAATGATAAAAATGAGGATATTGGTGGATGCATAAAACCAAAATAAAATTCCATTGTATTAATTAAAAAAATGATAACTAGTTTTAAAAGCTTGCTGGTCAACATTGAAGCTTGAATAATGCACTTAATAAATCTCCCATTGAACATTTGGTCGTGATTTTAGATCTTTTAAATGACTTGGTTATCCTAAGGGAATATTTGTTAGTTTATCTAGGTTCTAGAGGATAGTAGTCTGTGATCAGGGTAATTAGTTATCTTTATTAACATTTTTTTTTTTTTTTTTTTTTTTTTTTTTTTTTTTTACAAACCAAAATCCTTGGAACGCAAATTGCTATAAATTGCCATTCTTACTGAGTGTAAATGTAGATATCATGTTAGTGTTTATATAAGCTATTTTAAAGGTTTTCCTTTTGTGTGCAATCAATATTGAAGGTAAAATCAGGTTTTCAATTGCTCTTAACATGCATTTTGCATTAAAAATTTACATTGTTTCCACAATGGAAAATGAAATTTTGTTAAGATTGACATTCTGTATACTTTTTATAGAGTGTAAAATTGATATGGCAGAC